GCATCCCCCTGCAGGAGGGCAGAGCGTAATCAGGGTGCTGCGCACTGGCCTGCCGGCAGAGAGAGACCCCGCCCCCCACCCCCAGGCTCCAGTGTGCCGCTGGCCAGGCTCCCGGCTGGGGGATTCCCTGCCCCCCGATACTCACGGCTGAGGAAGAAGACGTGAGCTGCCTTGTAGGTGAAGGTGGGGGTGCCCTGGAAGTCATCGATCAGAGCCTGCACCGACTGCAAAGGGGGGAGAGGAGGGGTTGTCAGCACCAGCCAAGGCCCCTCCCTGCTGCCCGAAGGGCCCAGCCCATGCCCGGCCCCTGGGGACTCAGGGCCCAGCATGATGCCATCGGGAGGTGGGCTGGTTTTCACCCCCCTGCCCCTGGTCTCCCTCCACTGGCCTCCCTGCTGCAGACGCAGGAGCCTCCTCCCCCACAGCCCCTGCTACCTGAGCCTCTGCCTCAGCGATTCTACGACTTTAATTCGGATTTAGCTGCGTTAATCCGAATTAACCCTTCACCCGTCCACACTACAGAGCCAGTTAATTCGAATTAAAGGGCACTTAAAATCGATTTCTGTACTCCACCTCGACGAACGGAGTAGCGCCTAAATCGATTTTGTTAATTCGAATTAGGGTTAGTGTGGCCGCACACCACCGAATTACTGTGGTTAAATTAATGGGGTAGTGTGGCCGCACACCACCGAATTAATGTGGTTAAAAACCGAATTAATGTGCTTAGTGTGGCCGCGCACAATCGAATTTATACAACCTGTTTCCCAAATTCGAATTATCTAAATTCGGATTAATCCTGTAGTGTAGACATACCCTCTGAGTCTCAGCTGAGGACTTAGGGTGACCAGATGTCTCGATTTTATAGGGGCAGTCGCAATATTTAGTTTTTTTCCCTTCTAAAGGCTCCTGTTACCCCCCAGCACCTGTCCCGGTTTTTCACACTTGCTATCTGGTCAGCCTAGCTGAGGTTGCCTCTCTCCGCCTGCTGCACCTTCCCATCCAACCCCCACGGGACTGCACTGCGGAGAGGTCTAGGGGATAGTCTGTGCCTCACGTGGCAAAGAACACGAAGCCCAGCTCCGGGGAAACAGCCTCTTGGGAAGCCCCTACTGGCCCCATTCCCATCCTGACCTTGTGCTGCGCATCCCCCCGGACAGCGTCACCTCCAGGCTGCACTAGGTGCTGCCCCGGGGTCTCCCCTGCTCCCCATCCAGCTGCCCCAGGCCCGAGCTCCTACCTTCTCCACAGGGCTGAGCAAGTAGATGGCCTCCAGGCTGGGGATTGGCTCCCGGCGCTTGTTAATATCTTCCACAACTAGGAGAGAGCAGACATTGGGCGCAGGTCAGTGTGTCCTAGCCACCCGCCCCAGCCGCTCTCCACCGGGATGGGGGGAGGGGAAGCCAAGGGGAACAGGGATGTTCGCTGGCAGCAGGCTGAGGGGTTCCACAGGCTACAATGCAGCAGCAGCTTTGATGTGGGGCCATGGGCTGCGATGCTGCCCCAGTACGGAGCAGGGAGGAAACGTCCCTCTGTACTGTGCTGGGGACACCCCCCTAGAGCGCTGGCTCAGCTCTGTGCCCCTCAACTCCAGGACTCCTCCACCCTGGAGCAGGGAGCCAGCATTCCCCCTCCCCTGCCAGGACCCTGCCCACAGCATGGGGGAGGAGCAGCGAGGAGTTAACGAGGGTCTGAGAAAGCGGTGAAGAGGCTGCTGGGGCTGAAAGCGCCGGGCTAAGGGAACTAGATCTGGCTGGGAAGGTACCAATAGCAAGGAGGGCATCTAGGGGGCTGCAAAGGGGGGAAACTAGATGCAAATGTAAATGTAGACAAGTCAACTCCCCGACTGTGAGGTGTATCCAAGGGGGAGGGGAGCCCTGGCGGGGGGAGCAGATGGGAAGGAGGGGCCACTCACGCGTGATGCCTTCGTCCACAATGTCGGACATCTTGCAGCACGACGAAAGGATGCGCGTGCTGGGGTGGTCCATGATCAGCACCTGGGGTAGCGAGAGGGGAGCGTGCCGCTTCGGACGAGCTTGTCACTGCTCTGAGCCCAGCCGCCCACCATCATCATCCACGGAACAGCCAAGGGAGCAGAGCGACTGCTAACGGCAGAGCCGACGGCTCCTGGCCCAGCCCTTCCACAGCAGAGCGGCAGGGCCGTTACCAAGCCTGCACTTGGCTGAGCTGACCGTGCTAAGGACTGCGTGAGGAGCGACAAGGAGAGCAGGCTCCGAGCAGAGTGGCTGGTACGAGATGTCGGAGACAAACCTGGGACACCCGGCCATTCCGAATGGTTCCATCCTCCTAGACTGGAGGAGATCAGCCTCTTGGCCCAGGTGACAGGGTGAGTGCAAGAGGCAGGGACAGAACCCAGGAGTCCTAGCTCCCAGTGCCCTCCTCTGATCCACCAGATACCCGCTCCCCAGCCCTCGGACAGAACCAGGATCAGGGCACAGAGAAATGGAACGAGGGGAGTCTCCGTGTTCCCCTAGGAAAGCCCTGTAGGCCATCGGCCCAACATCTCTACTGCCTTCCTGCCGTGCCGAATGAACCCATTGCTCCGTGCAGCCCAGCATCCTGCTGCACCAGATCCAGCCACTGGGAAACCTAGTCCCCTGTGCTCCCTCTGCCGCACCGGCCAAGCCCACCGCTCCACACACCCCAGTCCAGTCCATGCCGGGGACTCAATAACCTGCCTGCCCAATGGTGCATGCTGCCCCCATGCTTGGTGCTTTCCTGCTCCTCCTCCCACCCAGGCTGGCTCACTGGGCCCAGTGGTCTGATCCGGTGTGTGTGTGGGGAGATATGGGGCTAGCTGGACCAGCTGGGTCTGATCCAGCGCAGCGGGAAGGCAGACATACCCAAGCCTAGCTGGGGGCGGATGATCGGCTAGACAGAGCAGGGATCTGATCCAGCCTGGAAAACCTCAGGGTCCTAATGAATCCCAAGAAGCTGGAGGGGAAGGAGCACGATATATGGATACAGCATATCCCCAGGGGGACACCAGGGCAGCAGGCCCGGCCTGCTTACCTTCCATTCTCCTTCCTTCTTCACGCTGCGAAAGACAACACTGAGGATCTCTGCGAGGGAAAGAGATGGGGATTAGTGGTGGGGATTGGATGGGACGGCTGTGCCCTGAGCCAGGACCCACTGGCTGGTGGAAGAACCCCTCGGGGAAGTGGCTCAGAGGCTGCTCTCAGGCCAGCTAGCGATGTGCTCCTAGCAGAGCCCCCAGTCAGCGATCGTGGTGGGGTGGCAGGCTAGATGGGCCATGGCTCTGATCCCCCTTCCTTTCTGCCAGGCTGGATACGAGCACAGCTGAACTAAGGATCTGGCCCTGTGCAGCAAGAGAACAGATCCTGTCCAGCACCTCTTGACTGGAGGGAATCCAGGGACCCTCTACTGTGTGTGGGGGATGACAACACGACAAAGACTTCGAATCCTGAGTCCTGCACAAAGAACCCCTCCAAGGCATGCCCCGCTCAGGGAACTGCCGGCCTGTCTCCTGGGCATCTTCCACGGCCAAGCTAAGCAATTAGATAGTCAGCTCTTCGGGCCAAGCACCATCTTTTTGTTATGCCCAGCAGAATGGTACCCTGACCCATGACTGGCACTCCTGGGTGCTACCGTAATACACCTAATAAATAATGTACAGCACCCAGCACAATGGGGTCCTGGCCCACGATTGGCGCTCCTGGGAACTACCGTAATACACCTAATGAATAATGTACAGCACCCAGCACAATGGGGCCTTGGTCCATGACTTGGGCTCCTGGGTCCTACCGTAATACAGGCATTTCAACCCTGAACTGCAGCTACGGCCCCCCACACCAGCCCTGGGCTGCCCCCACCAGCTGTGCCAGTGCCCCTCACTACTGACTGGAGCCCCCTGCTACCCCAGCCCTGGTCTGTCCCCCACCAGCTCTGCCAGAGCTCCTCACTCCTGACCTGCAGCTATTCCAGTCCTGGGTCCCCCCCCCCCTCACGGCTCTGCAGATGCCCCTCACTCCTGACCTGCAGCCCCCTGCTATTCCTGTTCAGAGACCCCTCTTGAACCGGGGCAGTATGGCCCAGCCCAAGTATTCAAAAGTCACGTGTCAGGCCCTCCTAATTGTGCGATTTACTGAGGAAAAACTAAGAGAGGAGCTAAGGGTTATTAGCACCACCGGCGGTCCTGACCTGTGGGCCACTTTTGCTCTGTCCCAGTTCTGGGGGCAACCATGTAACATCTGAACTGAATCCACTTTCCAAGGGTCTTTTAAACCCCAGGCCTGTGGTCTGGATTTAGCCACAGGCCCCGTCCACTGCAGCCGGGGCTGGAGATTCAGCAGTGGCTTGGGCTTCTGAAGTAACACAGCCCACACAGCGGGTCAGGGTGTTGCCAGAAGATAATGACTAACACATAGCAACTAACACCTCAGAGTCCAGCATGCACAAGGCAGCGGAGGCCATGCTGATCAGGTGTAAGGCTTTAACTTGTTCTCTCCTACATTACAGCTACAGCCTATGCCAGCTCTGCGTTGCGGCCGGGCAGAAGCGTACTGCTTCACTACGGTACAAAGTGGCTATGACGTCATTTTTCTCCTCGTGTGCAGCTGTTACCCATTCTGACAGGCTGTTTATAACGCTAAGTTTACTAGTTTTCGGAGGTGGTCGGGGGAGGAGAGGGGGTGCAAGGTGGAAGTTTCGCCTAGGGCGCAAAATATCCTTGCACCGGCCCTGAGTGCGACACCCCCATAAGCGCCCCACCCTGCCCTACCCGGGCCCCCCAACTGGGCCCTGTCCCCCCAGACCCACACCCGACTGGATTCTGCCCCCGACCGGGCTCAGACCCCCCAGCTCTGCACTCACTCTCGCGCACCACCGCCTTCAGTCCGGATGGGGTCATCTCCGCCTTCTCTCACGCACCTTCGAGTCCTGTGGATGGAAGTGGGACTCAGCTGTGTGCGGGGCAGGGCTGGAGTCAGGACTCCTGGGTTCTGCCCCTGCTCTGCTCCCGCCCTTGTGCGCGCCCTGGCCTCTCCCTGCCCTGCTCTGGGGAGTGTCTGTGACGCTGGGCGACGGCCCCTAGTGACACTGATGGAGCGGCCCAGCCCCCCCAGTGATTGATTTCAGTATAAAGCAACTGGGGTGCTGGTGGGTCGATGTCTGCAAGGCTGATGACGGCCGAACGCCGCAGCCCCCCACTTCTGGCGCTGCGGGGGCCGGACCTGGGCACCCATGGGCCTGCGCCTGGTGACAGGGCCACGCAGGTCCCCATTGAACCCCCACCCGGTCACGTGGGGCGCAGAAGGAGGCGGGGCCCCCTTGCAGGGTTAAAGCGAGGACTGGGTTGGGGTAGTGGGGCCTCAGCCCACTCCGGTCAGGGCCCCCCACCGAGCTGCAAGTCCCCCCCAACCAGTGCCCCCCCCAGCAGTGCCCCTCGCCCCCCCCGAGTCACGTCTCTTGCCCCCCTACACCCCCCCCCCCCCCCGCCCCAAGCCAGGCTCCTCAGCCCCCCTCCACTCAGCCCCCGCAGCCAGGCCCCGTGTTGTACCCAGGAGCAGGAGCGTCTCCTTCCCTCGCGCGTCACTTCAGGAATGGTGCTGGGACGGCCTGAGCCGCACACACAGTCACTGGGACGGACTGCACCACTCGGCAGGGAGCTCAGTCCCTTTCCGCATTCAGTGGCGGGAAAATATGGTACAGTCCCAGCAAGGGTGGAAAACAGTCTGAGGTAAAATTGTCCTTGGAGTGGCCAAGGGCGGGAAAAACCGGTTGGATCCAGTTATGACTGGGCCATGATAACAGTAAACAACAAGATGGCGGTCACAAGATGGCAGTTCAGACGCCATCTTGGATTGCTGCTCTATCTTTACAAACTACACAGTGAATTTAATATACACATATTTTAACAGACTATAATCCTATAACAAAACACACCCAGCAGTATAAACAAGTCATTGTCTGTATGTAATTTTAGTTTGTACTGACTTCGCTAATGCTTTTTATGTAGCCTGTTGATGTACCCCCTGGAAGACCTCTGCGTACCCCCAGGGGCACACGTAACCCTGGTGGAGAACCACTGGGTTAGAGAAACGGGCGGGGGGGGGTCCTAGAAATCAGGACTCCTGGGTTCAATCCTGACTGCAAGTGGAGTGGGGTTTAATGGTTGGAGCAGAGAGCTGAAAGTTAGGATTCCTGGGTTCTAGTCCAGGCTATGCAATTGATTCATTCTGTGACATGGTTCGTTCTGCCTTGTCTGCTTGTGACATGTGGAGCGCAGAGACCTGCCCCAGCCCTTCCCTTCTGGCTGGGTGGTGTAGTAATTAATGGCCATAGAGCCTGGGCTCCAAGATCCTGGAGCAGGAATTTGTTCCCCAGGCTTGACTGGCTCCCTGCCCCATCCCTCCCTCCATCAATCGGAACAAATCCCTCCTGGCAGAGCTGTTGTCTGACCCAATCTATTGGGTCCTGGCTGCTGTTCAGCTCAGGTTAACAGCATGTTCTGTTTCTGTAAACTCCCCCAGAGCTTTCGAATGGAAGTGAGAGTCTTCTTCACATCCTGCTCTAAACTGTGAGTTGTGTCGCTCTGTGGCTGTTCACTCTACCTCCCCGCCAGAGATGGCATCATTTCAGTGCCAGGTGAGTGATCCCTGTATAGTGTTGCTGTGTTACTACACTGCTGCTGCGCTCCACCCCAGAGGTATCTGCATTTCAGTGCTGGGCAGGCAATCCCTGTGCAGTGTTGCTGTGTGTTGTTATGCAGCTACTGCGCTCCACCCCAGAAGTGGCTGCAATTCAGTACAGGGTGAATGAAAGTCCATGTCTCATTTTGCCCGGGGGGGGGAGTTAAAGAGCCTCCCAACCCCTCACCTGCACCCCAGCTCCTAGGAGGGGTTATAGAGCCCCCCAAGGCTGGAGAGTTACAGCCCTTGCCCTTAGCCCGGTGGTTCTATAGGTAGAGCCCCCAGAGCTTGCCCCCCCATCACTCCCTGGGCTCGAGCCGCTAGCGGGGTCTCTCTCCCCCTTCCTGAGAGCCTCACGTGGCCCCACAGCAAGCGGGTTCGGCCTCCGACTCACCGTGCAGCTGCCTCCCATTGGACCCCAGGCTGGCCTCCCCCCACATTCCCATAGGGCAAGACGAGTGGGGGCGGGGCAGAGCAGCTGTCAGGGAGTCCTGCCCCCAACCCCCTCAGGGGCTAGAACTAGAGCCGGAACCAGCTACTGGCTGGGGCTCGAGCTGCCGCTTCAGCACCTAGCTCCCCTACCCCATCACCCAGGGCGGGGATCCGGGGCTACAGCCTGGCCCAGCGCAGCAACCGTCCATGGGCCACTCTGCCCTCAACGGCCGCCCCCCAGGAGGTGCAGCCGCCCCCCCAGCAGCGCAAGGCAGCAGAGACCTTTCTTCCTAACACCCCCGCCCGCCCACCCACCCACACGCCGAGGAACACATGGGAGTTTCAACAGCCACTTTATTAAACGTTACAAAGGCCAACACAGTGCAGGGACACACGCCTCCCTGGTGACATACATTTAGAAACCTCTGACAATGTAGGAACTAGTACAGAGAGTTGATATTTCTTTAAAAGCTGCAGCATAAACATCATAGTAAAAAGTTTCTTAATTGTGAGTAAATAAGATTACATTTTTGTACAGTTAGCTTTGTTACTGGTCCATGGTGCATTCATACAGTAGAGTTATTTTTCTAGAGACTTTGTACATTTAAAGAAGTCACTGCAGTGATAAAGATAGAGCAGAAATTAAAATACTTCAGTAGGCACAGAAATCCTTGCCTTTCTCTCCCTCTTCATCCTCAACGAAACAGACAAGGCCTTAGATAGTTAATTATAAGCCAACAGAGCAACTTTCCACAACACTCACTACCAAAAAGCATCTTGTCCTTTGGGGTAAAGAGGCCAATATTTCTTGCTAGGTGTTTAGAGGGCAGATCCACCATTGGGCTTAGCCACCCTCTGAGCGCTCTGTCACATCTTTCTGGTAGTTGTCGCTCCAGAGTCTAGCTCATTTTTTGTGATAACAGCCAAAGCAACATCCAACACTCAAAGAAGTAGGCTATGTCGATTAGGTTGTGAATCAATTTCACAGTGTAGCTACTTGCAAATCTACCCCAAAAAGTAAGGGAGGAAAAAAGAGACAAGAGAAAGGAAAAACTATACAGAGGAAGTAGAAACAAGGACTGGAAGGAAATTAGAAACCGACAGATTAGAGGGTACACACAGTGGTGACTCTGTGTGAAGCACCAAGTTCTTTCTTTCCCTCCTCATAGAGAGCAGTCACCCATACCTAAAAAGTTTGTCGGTAAGAGGGAAGAGGCAACGGCGTTTGTTACCAGCCTTTCCTGAAGTCCTAAGGGAACACTCACTCAGGGGACTAGTTTAGAGGGAAGATAATTTGTGAAGTAATGCAAACAGATTAAAATTTTATATATATTTATATGTAAACTACATTTGGCACTGATTCTACTCTGGAAACATCTTGCTGGCTTGCAGAGAAAAGTTTTCACTGATCTACTTTTTGGCAAAAGAGAAAACCTCAAACAAAACCAACTTTGGTAAGTGTCTACATTACAAACACTAAACGTTTTTAAAGGTACTCTTTCAGATTAAACTGACACCAAGAAGTGACAGACTGTCTTTTGAAGAGAATGTAAACAACTTATAGAGAAGTGTTTAATCACAAATACCACAAGGCAGCACTAACGGTTCAGTGCTCAAATATTTAGAACTTCAATAATAGAATTTAACTGCATATTCTTAAAACAGTAGTGAATGACAAGTAGTGTTTACAAGGGTGGCAGGCTCTTCCACAACTAGTCAGAAGGCATTAATGGAGTACGGCAAGGCAGGGAAAGTCTGTTCAAATGGCAGACGTGTTAAGAGTTTCTTCCAAGAAGGCACAAATTTAAGATTTGGTTCCCATCCCGTTAGTAGTGTGTCAGAAGAGACACCTTTAAATTGGGGCATGAAGGAGACAGCGAAGAGGACAGATACCCAAACATACTCTTCACATTTATCTAGAACGCAGTACTCACTGGCAACAATACATTGCTTCTAGATTCTAAAATGCAAACATGAAATCCTCTTCACCAGCTCATACTCAAGATTACCAAGGCACTGTGCAAGTTGTGGGCTGTGCTTATTAGTATTTTAAAATTAGGAGTGTAACTTTTAAATAAAGGCACATTTCCTATAAATGAGAGAAAGTTATCACATGACTAGTCAAAATAATTTTGCTTTATACATCAGTAGGTGAGAGCTTGAGAATACAGCAGGTTTGAAGGAGAGAGATGGCTTCTGCTGGTTTGCATTTCTTCTTGTAACTCATGAGGACACACTCCAGACTATAACAGAAAAATAAGGATTGGAAAAACGACAGTCCTCTTCCCCCCACATCAAAGAGGCATAAAACAACCCTGCAACTTAAAGACTTGAGCTACGGAACACTCAAAATATTCAACAAAAGGAAATTCTAAATAATTTCCTGTGTTTGTTTTACCATAGTTTCATTCTTGCACAGGATTAGCTTTTAGAATTCATGTACTAAGTATTTCTCACCTATGGTCACAATTCTGTTTGTAGCATCACAATTAGTTGCTGTAGACTGTGTTACAAACAGGCCCAAAGGTGAGAAATGAATATGCTGTCAGAGCTCGAGAGTAAATGAATCCTGCTGGAAAGCTTGTTAACAGCTACATCACAAATTCAAACAGCTGAACACCAAGCAGTGTAACTAGGCAGAAGCTCCCTGGCTCTACTATGGCCAGAAGATGAATCCACAGTCTTCCTTGCACCCACCAGAAACATCTCCACTTGCGTTGGTATTTACAGGTTTGTTACCAGTTATAATGATGGGCTCGTGGCTGTTGGATACATACGGGTACATCTGGCAACATTCAGAAGTTGGGACAAGTGAAATCTGGATATCAAACAAGGGAGCATGAATTTCTTTCCTCTCAAAGCTTCTACTGCAATATATTTCTGTTTAAACAGCTTGTTCACCGGTGATGAATCCTTGAGAACTGTCTGTCCTCCTCCTCCTCCCCCAGGATTCTGCTCCAGCAGGAAAGCTAGTGCATGAAGTCAGTGGTGTTTCCTGCACTCAAGTGAGGCTAGTCAGATCAAGGCTCTTGCCTGGACTGAGTTTAACGGCAGGGTTTTAAGTGTCGACCTGCAGTGGCACCAGTGCAGCTGGACTGCTGTAGCGCTTCAGTGAAGACAATATTACACTGATGGGAGAGCTTCTCCCATTGGCATATTTAATCCACCTCCATGAGAGACGGTAGCTATGTTGAGGGGAAAAGCTCTCCTGTCCACATAGCGCTGTCTACAATAGGGGTTAGGTAGGTGTAACTGCGTCGCTCACAGGT